AAATTGAAAATGTCTCAAACTGAGATGAAGTTGTGCGGCCCCAGAAAAACTGGAGGTATTATTCTGGATAATTTAAAGGCAATTTTTATATCACTGTTGACCCTTCAGGCAATATCTCCAATAATGAGATTATAAAAATACGGAATTTATTCTTTATTTTTTATTGCAGGTGGTTCCAATGTGTTTTTGTTAAAAGTGGTCGATCGTCCGAAAGAAGTGACATTTTAAATTATCGTTCGCGAAAAGTCAAAAGTGCGACACGCGTCCGGTATGATACGTACAACATTGAAAATATTGGATACAGGAGTTACCCGCTGGAAACATGCCGTCGTTAGAACAGAGCATTTGTCCACAACTAAAGGTAAAGATACAGTTTTTAATTTTTCTCATTGAAAACATAGTCAAAAAAGGTTCTATTAACATAAGTTAAAAGAATTAAGATCAAAGTGGGTACAAAAATTAATATCTACTTTTCTTATAACGTACTTAATTTTCCTGGTGCTAAAAAAAAAGAGGATCTAAAAATTGAAAATTCCCATTAATTCAAACAGTTTTATTTTATCAAATGTGGTTCAAAAATATATTGGCTTTTCTTAGAAAATAAGAATTCCAAGACTTTTATTTTTCAACTTACAATAAAAAACATCTAGACCAATGATTTCCATTTCAATAACTACGATATGTACAATTGTACAAAGTATGAGTTTGTCTATCCCAGTGTTTCCAGGAGATCTCTAAAGGGTTCCACGAATCTTTCTTTTTTTACAACAAAACAATAAAAATTACGGCCCCATGAATTTAAAAACTGTCGAATCCATTAACCTATTCAATATTTTAAAATTTAAAATTTAAATCTTATTTTTAAGTTATTTTAAAAGATTTTGGATTTATTTTATTATTACTATTTGATACAAGTACATACTATTCGAAATAATTATCATTTTTATTTCCAATAGTCCATTTAAAGAGTGGTTGGTTCATTAAAACCATACTATTCAAACATACCAGGATTGACTATAAAGGTGGGCATTGAAAAGAAAGAAATTGTTTGAAAAATGCTGGTCTATGCTGTAAATTATACTTAATATCATAATCATACTCTGTCAGGCTAAGAACTTTTCCAATCACCCTCGTATATACTGATTATAAATTAAAATTGCATAGAACCAAGTTTCTATGTTTAAATAATTCTTATTGGAATAACGTTGCGTTTTAAGTAAACTCTTGGGTCGAAACGATTTTAAAAGGGCTTTATTCTTGACACATAAGGCTTCATTTTTGACACAAATTGTTTAAACATTTCTCTGTAATTAGATATAATATATATGTTTTATCGGTCATCGGCGCATTTGCAGCTTTTAAAATTTATTAGTTAAATTTGATCTTGAGATCAAGCATAAACAACAATATATTATATAATTACATAATTCGATAAAATTTAACGAACAAAAAAAAAATTATTTGTTCAATAAATAATAATTCAGCTGATTGTAGCCCTACGATATGACATTAACCGGTAAAAGATTTCAACGAAATCGATCCGTACGTAATTTGCTTGATGTTTGGTAGATGGCGCGAGCCATACAAACGGCGCTTAATAAATAAACGTCATTTTATGAGGAATCGTCAAGACACAAAGTTCGGTATCGCTTCTCGGCCTTTTGGCTAAGATCAAAGTGTAGTATCTGTTCTTATCAGCTTAATATCTGATACGCCCCGCATGCGGGGCCAGTATATTAAACTGATTTTTGGAAATTGATGGAGATTTAAGAGCTTGCTCTATCTCCGTCGCGGGTTGGCCTGGCATTGCAGTACCGCTAGGATCGGCCCAAATAAACTAATACAAACATAGGAAATCATACATGTAACCAACTAACAACGAAGTATTCGTGTAGATAATAATTCTAGTTCATATCTATACTCACGAAATTCCCTACGTAAAACTATTCATTAAATTATGTTAGATATCAGAAACTGCTGCTCGTTAAAAATAAACAGTACGATACAACATACAAAAGAAATTCTATTAAAAACATTTTCAGACATGATTGTTTAACATTTGATTTTCTTATTGTTACAGGTAAGTTAGATCATCGAGGGAATTGCTGTAGATAACTTGCAATTGGACATGTGAGTTGTTTCCTCCTAATTTTTTTTAGGTCGCGGAGTGTTCGCTGTCCGGTAATGTTAATTGTATGAAAGTTAGTTTGTTAAAGGCAAACTTTTCAAGAAGATAAGTTACACATTATAATGCAATTC